TGGAGCAACAGGAGTCGATTGCACGAGGTAATACGACGAGCGGCATAGATGGAGGCAAATGCTTCGTACCACTAGCGACCATATCGATTAAACCTAAACCCGATCCACCACCCACCAGCCATTATCACCATTCATTGCTCAGCCACCTGTCATCAAACGATGCCAACCCTTGCCACCTAAACTTCGGTGCCTTGATTCGATGCAAGGACTATTCCATAGTCACTATTTCGACGTACTCAGACTTGCCTCATCGAGACATACGTGTATCTGTTACTTGAATCAGCTGCTGGTGCTAAATACGTGGTTTGAGAATGATTCACTTAGCATATGGAATAGATATCGTATATTAATGATTTAGATTAATACCATTTCCAGCGAATACCGTGTTTCTAATGCGACTATAACTCAGATTAATTTAAATATTGCATTAATATCGTTTTCGTATTGAAAACCTAGATAAACGGAATATTAAACACAAAGTAGCTCAGTAAGTTGCCAGGATGATAAATTTGTCGTGTTGTCTATTGGAATTTGTTATTTTGTAGTTCGCACTCTCCATCCTCACGTGTTCCTCTTCCTACAACAGCTTTTACCTACCAAAAACGTATGAGCTATGGCCTGCATGAAGTTGTGAGTGTATTTTTGTTAAGCTGTTTTCATAGGCAGAACGCCTTTTGTCTGTGATGTTCATTATATTGGCAGTTATTTTAAACAGTTTTACCATAAAGCACGATTGCTGCATCGTACAACAATATAATTTTTTCCGAAATCAGATCCGCCTCTAACCTATTCTCCCGTATTGCACTGTGACCCTTTGGTCGAAGTCTAAGTGTCTCAGCCTCCACACGAGATACTCGTTGGTTTGAGTAAATGGCATATGAGGTTACTCATATGGCATACTCATAAATGGTTTACGAGTCCAGGTTGCAGAAACCAAAACGCGGTTATAAGGCTGTCATCCTGATTAACGTGTTGTACTGCGTTGTGTTTTCTGTCTAAGCAATTTGTCTTGCCTACTACGCGTTTATATGCTTTTTATTTCACTGTCGGAGCACGTTGTTCACGAGCCTATCGACGTCGGTTCGTGACTCACTCGCTGTTACTCCTTCACGCTGCTTTCTCTCCCGTGCTAACATCTAAACGCTGGGTTCATTCTTATAGTGGAGATGTTTACTGTGCTGATTTCCCGATTAACCCTGAAACCTAACGATCAACAGATTCTTCTTCAACTGCGACCCTCTGTCTCATGAAAGTGTTGAAACGATGAAGTTCTCGGATCACCGACTACCAAAGGCATTCTGTAGCTGCAACTGACTTGAGGCGATGATCCCAGCAAACATTTTATAAAAATAAACATAGAAAGGAAACTTTTTACCTTTTGCGATGCCTTCCTTCCTTACCTTCCTTACACCCTGATGACCTCCGTTTTTTCAAGAATCTTAAAGCATGACGCTGATCTTCGTCACAGCGTAATCCGCCATGCCAGCTCTATTTTGCTTTAGCGTACCAGGTAGATCTAATGGCCCGTGCTGTGCGTAATGTGCTGATTTTTCACATGGTGTGCTCGTTTAATGAAGTTGGAAAGAATGAAAGGCGATTGATTTACCTGACTCGGATTTGAACCCGTGATCTTTCGGCTAAGAGTCCAACATTCTATCGAAGAGCTATCCTGATTCATCCGACCCCTTCCAGTTTACTTCAACTTATCCTAAGACAGTCGATGATGTGTTTAATACGAGAGATATAGAAGCTTACCGTCATTGAAACAGCCCATATTCTAAGTGGAATAGTTCAGCTCCATAACCTCCACCCTTCAGTTTGCAAGATTTAGCATATTACTTCCAGAACGTGTAACAATTAACAGAATAGAATAAATTTAACCGTGATAACAATAATAATAACGATTTGAAGATGACTTATGATTTATATCAGGAATGGATGGGAAAGAGCTGAAGTGCTTATTTGGGTTAACGACATTTTCACATTATGGAACTGAGTCATCCTTCACGTAATGCGCCGGAACATTAAGTAACGACAGAGCGTATAAGTCGAATTTACAACAGAGATTCAAGAGCTGGACGCCTAGGAACGATGCAGATATCTGAGGTTACGACAGCTTTTGCGAGGATAGGGTGAACAAGCCATTCAGGAAGCGACGATTCAAATTGGCTATCATATGGCAGATGAACTCTAAAAACATCATCTAAGCAGTAGATTCTGGGCCAAACTTAGTATGGTCTATGCCTTGTATTAGCTGCTATCAAGTGACCTGCGCGGTTTAATGTACTTACTGACACGTAGGCTAAAACTCAATGTTAGTATCAAATGAATAGCAGAAGTAAAGAAGCAGACAAACGAGGAACTATGCGAGTAAGTGAATGTAATTAATTGTCTTCTGCCACTTTCTCAGATACACAGTCGCACCTCCTGTTTTTGTAGCATAGGGGATTGTATAAGCAGATTACTATAAGCAAGGGAATGCGAGGAATGCGACTAGACCGTGTGCCTAAATCTGGAGAAGTAACAGGAAATTGTTACCGGCTGTATTGAAAACTAGCAGTTTACTAGTAAACCGTCCTACCGGATTTAATTGTTTAATGTAATTAATTAATTAATTTGAGTAGGAAGTAGTAAAGTATGCATGTGGGAGGTGAGTAATCGAAGTAAGTAAATCGACAACTAAATTTTTAGTAGTTGAATGCTCTAACGCTTCAGCTATGTGTTGATTTTCAGTCGGCTACCAGATGGCTTAAAGAGAATTGGAGCTTTGAAGCTCACGCATCAGATGTTATAGCCATATGAGTCGCCCAAAGTGGCATGACCACACCGGAATGTTGCTGCCCCCGTTGTTCGCAAGTTAGCTACTTCCTATTCCTTTTTCTCTTCACTGACTACTGGTTGACGCACGGCGGTGTAAACTCGATGCCCAACGAAACCAGTTGTTAATAAAGCAGTTTTCACTGGCCGTTGGATTGGAACCCGGCATTTGTAAGGTACAAAACAAGGTATTCGGTTCACTGCACCTCTGGCGACCATTGGTTAAGGATTGCAGGGTAAATCACTTCTAAAGCTCCTGTCAATATTGTGCCATGGGCGATTATCACTATCAGTATATTTTCTTCTATGGCTAGCAATATGACAGGGATAAACACCTTTAGTCAACGATGTTAACGTTTCCACCAAACGGGCATCAGACTATGAGACACAGTGTTTCGTATGCTCGTATTAGAGTACAAAACTATCGGAGAATGAAAATTCTCGTTTATTGAATCGTTCAGAAATGTGTTGTACCGGTTGATGGTTACGAATCTTATTGTTTTTTATGTAAATCAATTAGTGGGTCTGAAAGCAGTTTGACATTAATTGTTTACTATTGTGTTTGTTAAGAAACTGGTAGTTTTCGATATCGCTGGTTCAAATATCCGTCTCTTGTTACTTGTATGGATTGGCACGGTGTTTGTTCAGTGCGCTTTTGCGCTTTCGCACTGCAAATGTCAAAATACCATAGATGCATACCCATTTTAAACCGTTCCGTACGCTACTGGAAAACAGGGGAGCAGAATATTCACTGTTTTGCTTCTGACAGACATTCAGAGACGAAAAGAATATGATTTTATATGCTATTGGTAGGAAAATTTGCCTACCGGATCAAGACTAAAAGGACGTTTGACACAGGACGGATGACATTCCTTGTCGTTCGTTCGGCATTATGTAAACAGTACGTGTGGCAGCCGAGTGATGCGGTCTCTCGTTGCACTGTTTTCATCACTGGCTTTATTGGATTTCGTGTGGCTGTCAAACTTCAGGCCGACGAGAGAATCCTGCACCCTTAGTCTGACTGTCTCGCGCTTGTCAACGTCGTCTTTCAATGGACAGCTCAACACGGACCAAAGTTCTCTCCGTCGGTCAGACAACCGTTGTACAGTACAGACGTAAATCAGCATAGCACAGCGTCCTGCAACCTATGTTCTTCCTCTAATTACATGCATTCCGTCAATGTGCTTCTGATCCAGTCGTAAAGTGGACGTGCGCAAATTTCTTTCACATCTGAAGATTGTGGGCTGATCACATCAGCTGTCTTTTATGAATATCATAGACATCATGGTAGATCTCTCTTCAATGTTTTATATCGTAACGTTCCAATACGCATCTCTGGATCTATTCTAGGACTGAAGTATAAGCAAAATCTGTTAATCCCACAGGTGACTTGGATTCTCCACTGTGAGCAACGGCAAAAGCGAAATTTGCACGATTACATCCTTTCTTATTGGTCCATACTCACAAATATTTATTTGCATTAACTTTCTATCCGTCACTCCGTCTTTTTCATCATTATTAATTTACTGTTTCGTTGTTATGCATGTTGTTTTTTGTTGTTTATTTATACATTTTATGTATAAGGTTGTATCAGCGGACCAGTGATTTCCGAAATGTTAACCAACGCTGGTTTTAATTTCCATTTCCATTAATTTAAGTAACAACTTTCTTGACTGATTGATTTTTCACTATTAATATTGATTGAATCACTTTCAGTCATTGTGTGTTTCTT